TTTCATGCGTTAATTCTGCGTTCTTACATATTTTATTTACAATGTGGCGATTGCAGAGTTTCCTCTCCTCTCGTTTGTCAAACATGGCGTTAATTCAAAGAGAGACGATGTTGCAACGATTTCAAACGGGTCTTAAAGATCAGCACAACAACGTCACTCGAGTCTGTACTTGAAAAGGACCTTATCCTCAATTTATTAATATTTGATTCCTAAGTCTCTTAGAATCTCAAATCGAAAAGGTCTCCAAGGCATAGTGGCTGTCGAAGAACGCTTTTCACTTTCACATTCGAATTTCTAATTAGACAAGATTGATATCTGCATAACGTGTACAATAGCCCGTTATCACTCGAACCAGGTATTTTACAGACACATGTTCAGTAAATACTGTAAATGGGAGCAAGGTGTGAAAACTTACCAGTCTAGCTCCTATGAGTACCTCTTTGTTGATCTAAAAAAGGAATTTCTGTTGCTGATCAGATGAAATTATACCTAGATAATTCAAAAGGAAAATTAAGAGTAATGAGATGCAAGACCTAAAGATGACGTGTATATTTGGCATATTCATCTTGACAGGTATCTATGCTTCAGTGGTTTGTAGGTTGTCACGGCGGGAGGGCCACACAGGAAACTATTTGGCTTGAGATAATAACGTACAAGACAAACGCAGCGAGTTCCCGACCTAACTCAGTCAATAAGTATTTTATCATATGACCGTCGCTTTTCCATTTTCTTCCTTTTTTCTTTCAGCTCGCATCTCGCTTGGCTGCAAGGCTTTTCATGAGGCCCTCATACCAGTCATACGGAGTTTTATGTCGAAAGTCTGTGGACGGTGCCCGCTATTGCCACTGTGCACGCGAGTGCATCACGTCATGATCGGCGAGCTCGCGCGTGTGTGTGGAAAGACTCGTCTCCCGCAATGATCACGCGAATTTCTTGTCACCTAGAAGTTGTGTTTAAGAAGCAAAACTAAAATGACCAAGAAATGTTTCGAGACAAGAGCTTGATTTCCTGTTTTAAATACAATAATTACCGGGCTGTAAAACGTACAATTAATTTTTCATTCAGTACTAAAAAATCTAATTTAAATGGAACTGACAAGGTAATTTTATTTTCCTTTACTTTCTTTAAAATGCAACATCAGCATTTTTTTTTCAGATTTCAAAACTAATTATCTCAGAACATTGCGTGGCTACCTCCAATTTTCTTTTTGGATTTTGATAGCCCCTGATACAATCTATTTTACTTGTATAGTCATCTGCCGGGCAAAATTAAATCCCAATTAATCACAGGCACCGTCCTTAAATCAAACTTAACGCATATTTGCGTTCACTTGGGCTTTCTGTTGGAGAGAAACTTTATTTTTTTCTTTGTGCCTGCATTTGCCGAAGTTTTTAACGCAATTATTGGTTTATCCTGTAATTGTTTTCGGTCTTGGTATGCCAGAGATGCAGGTTTCTCACATATGTAGGAAGACAACTGAAAACAGCATTTGTTATATAGTGTGAAAACCGTTCTCTGGGGTGGGGTGGAGGCAGGTAGAGCCATATATCAGTGGCTATTATTTCAAAACTTATGACCAGACACTATTTCCATTCTTTCTTTTTTTTTTAGTTTTAACTTAATGAAATATTGTTTTACGAATAAAGGGGTTGTAGTGGGCTGAGTCATTTGGCAAATAAGCTGTCTTCGTATGTTTTCCTTTTCATGGTTGACAAAAGATTCTAGGCTGAGATAGCTTTTAATTATAAACAGCCCTAAGTGCTAGAGTGATGGCACTTGACCCACGCAAAAAAACCAATTGTTTATTTTTATTTTCACCAAAAGGAAACAAAAATTAACTACCAAAGCTAGTTCTCAGACATGAGCGACTTAGAGGCTCTTTTAAAGAGGTACAGTACTAATATCCTTCTATAGCAGTTTCTTGGTGAACAGTACCAGAGTAGCTTTCACTGTATTCCAGTTGATAATTATTATCAAACACATTTAATGCTGTAGGTAATTCTGACTGTACTAAAAACGCCTATCCGGCTAATCGCGACAAACTTGAATTAAACCTCTTTCCAATATTTATTATTTGTATAAGATCATTTGCAGAGCAGATCCCCTGGGTGTTATTGTAAATCAAAGAGCACAAACTCATTGTAACACATTTTTGTCCTGCATTCTGTCCAAAAACTAACTCGTTGCCTTGACTATATGGAGCTTCTATTGTTTTGTTAGGGTCAACATAACTGCTTTATATTGGAGGACCAGGATTTTTCTGTGTATATCTTCACTTAATTTATGGTTAGAATAATTTGCTTCATGAGCCTCACTTTTGCAAGAACACATCAGTTTATTACAAGAAAACAATGATCGACTGGCACTATATTTTATCTTTCTTATACTTTGATGAATTCTTTCACGACAGTTAAACTTAAACCTCGTTTTATTTAATAGTTTTTTCAGCATTTACATAACAGTACAGTGTAGATGACATAAGTATACATGAAAGAATACATAGATGAATTCTCTAACCTTTCTACTCTTAAGCTTGTTCCTTAAACTTTTCAAACTTCACATTGGTATTCTGCTTGGTTCACTATCACGTCTACATACACGATGAGATTTGCGTTTGTGCTTTTCTCGATTAACATTAAATAGCTCAGTTGATATAGAATATTTCTCGATGAAAGGTTTACTCCACAGGCTACCCAAACTCCAGCTGTGAGATGACCATGTTGCGAAATAAGAGTCATGGCTAAATTATAAGAGTTTGTATGGGAAAATTTACGACTGCTTTTAGGAATACAAAAATACAGACAAACTCTCAATGAAAATACCTCACCTTACTTCCACAGTGCATCGCTTGTTATCTGACCACTTATTATGATGAAAGAACCCATTTTAGTGCGTTATCCATTTCTAGATTTACGACGTACATAAGAGAAGCTTTCCTTATGTACGTAGTAAACCTAGAAATGTTTAACTTGCTAACGTGGGTTCTTTTCAACTGCATTTTTGCACCCCTAAAAGCGGTCGTAAATTTTTCCATACAAATTCTTATAATATTACCATGACCCTTATTTCGTGAGATGATCATCGCACAGTTGAAGCTTGGGCTGTCTGTGTTCACTCATTAATGTTCGTTCATAAGGTTCGTGGAACGACCCGTTCCGAAAACGCTCGACATATTTTAGTGTGGGTCTAACGCGAACGCTGTGTGTGTTTTGAGCGTATTATACACAGTATCTGTGCTGATTTTGCACCGCAAAGACTTCTCTTCTTCCGCCATTACACCATGCCATATGCTCATCAATCAAAACGTCGCGCATACGTCAGAGTCAAAACGTCGCGCATACGTGTTAAGGACTTGACTGCGATTTGCAACTCGGGCGTGCCCTTTCCATGCTGTTCCTTATTCTTAACGGTTCGCCGCGTAACTTAACGCTGCGTAACACAATGCGTGACGCTGTCACAAGTCAATCTCTTTCTTTTTCTCGAGACGTGAGCTTGGGATGCCTGTGGTCTGGCTGGCTTACATAAGATATTAAAAGGGCCATCCAATTAAGACGAAATAATTAACGCATTTGTAGTGATCATCAGTAATAAAACCTGAGGTGTTCGCTTAAGATTTGAACCGGCGTCTAGCTGTAAATTCATGATGCACTTCACGCAGATGTGCTTGGATGTGAATATCTATAACAAATTAAAAGTTATTTATGCTTGAGAGATTGTTCCGGCTAAGTTTTTCGGCCTTTTTTAGATAAATGATGTAGCTATTCAAACTATTTTTATCGATCCAGTTTTAGTTCTTAAAATGGCAGCATCATTAGGCACAGAAGATTGCAATTAACAGCAGTGGTTACGATTTCAATAGGGGAGACACTTTATGAATAATTCATCAAGGCTTTATTTACCACCAGCTTGTTAGGCATGATTGAAAGGATTTCACCTTAAATTTTTTATCAATGTACACATTTTTGTTAGGAGTGAACAGGGTAATATTGAAAAAGCCACGAGAAAATTGTTTTTTTATTTTTTTTCGCAATATACAGCATACAAGAAGTTGCCAATCGATGAAGACTCGACGAAAATATTGTACAAGAATCTTCATGTTCATAGTTTACAGTAGCTGGATTTGCCAAGGTGAAGCCATGGCTGCAAACGGTAAGAACCTAACACAACGATGGATCTCCTCCAAAATGCTCCAAAATTGACCGACCTCGATTAGCTACGGGTCAACTTATTCTTAAGGCGTATTTTTGCATGGCCTGTTTCATCAAATATTATCCAACAAATTCGTTTAAGTGTATTTTTTAACAAGTCTCTGTCCAACATGGAATTTTATCCTCTTCACCACTGCGTACTTTGTTCTTAAACTCTTCCCAAAACGCACATATTGTGCAAAAATAAATTCCCTTTTAAGTGTCAAAAGAAACACGTTTGGAAACATTACATGTTTTTCTCCTGGAGAAGTAACAACGGGCAACAATTAGGTGCAAATTACAAAGCGCTTACAAACAAATTTCAGGTAAGGTTCCATCAAGGGATAATCTGCCCATTTCCGAATGGATAGTTCTATTCTATCCGGCGGCCAAATTAATGCCAAATTTTTCTCTTGTCCGATTTTGTCTTTCTTAACAAAGAATTGGTCGGTAAATATATTCTCGACCGCTAAATGTCACGGAAAAAGAACTGCCATTTCTTAATTTGACAAAATCATCAAATAGTTGTGTACTACATTACAGACTGAGCATGGCCAAGAAAGAAAGACTGACCCCAAAAATTTTACTGTTATTGTGGGCACGTATCACTGGCTTTATCTTAAACTGAAATATTTTCTTATCTTTAATTAAGATCCTTGCAGAGAGCTAGTATTTAACCTACTCATTAATGAAAAAGCTGTCATGAATCACGTAATCAAGGCTTTATTTGCGACTGAATTTGAAAAGTTTTTTGATCAGCAAACGTTTATTCAAACAAGAAAAGATAATGATGACAAATTCATATGATTATTTATGAATGTTACAACGAGATTTCAACCTTTCGTTTCACAACTAAAAGATGACCGATCAAATAAATCTTTTATTTTTCTATCTACATCTTGGATAACTTTGCCTGATCTTTCAGCTCAAGGTTGCAGAGCGCTCCAGTTCGTTTCACCCAGGGAAGGGAAAGCTCTCGTAAATCACGTAATCAAGAACGTTTCGGTCGGAAGCTCAGACGTCTGTGAAATCGAATGTTACCTTGACAACCGCTGTTTGTCTTACAACTATGGTGACCAGGGGAATGTGCGCCACAAATGTGAGCTGAGCGATTCAGACCATAAACAACATCCTAATGATCTCCAAGAACGGCTGGGATATATCTACCGGGGAACCGAGGTACATATTATAAAAGTTAATCTGAGAGAGACCGACTATAAAGTGTGTCTCACTTTCCGTGGAACCCTTCCATACTTAAGTCTTTAACTCCAAGAGATAGTTAACATGTAGTATCTCCCTACAATATCAATACACTATCCAGTAATGGGAATACTCAAACGTATCAAGTAGAAGTTGTTATCTTGATCTAACAGCAATTTCTCGGAACTAGTTTAAAGGGGAAATATCTATAAATAGCAGCTAGAAGGAAGAATTTACAACCCTGGGAGTTAACCAACTATTTTTTGCATATTATTGGGGACCTTACGTAGTAAGAACAGCAACGCTGCGGAACACGTCGCTTGAAAAAATGAGTTTATTTAGAATTTGGCAAATGGCCGAAGGTGTCTACCATCTCTTACAGCGCTACACTTCTGCTTCGGCACAAGGTCTATGAGCAGCGTTGAGTTCAAAATAGAAACTTGAATTATTCTCTGTTGGGGTTTCTCCTCTCAGATCACGCAAATTTTGGTGATTTCACGTTGCTGTTTTGCAGAGGACGGCGAAGAAATGTACAAATTTTTAAAACACACGTGCTGATCTTTTGGATAGTCAAAAGAAAAAGAGACTTTGATTACCTAAATACAGTCAGCCTATAGTACATGCATGTACTGAGTCCGGTTGAAAAGAATGGCATTTATTTCTTCTCCGACAGAATGAATGTTCCAGTAACCCGTGCTCTTTAAATGGTAAATGTGTCATCGATGTAGCTGACAATAAATACCGCTGTCACTGTCATCCAGGTTACTATGGAGACCACTGCGAACAAGGTAAGGATTGTTCTTCAATGTCGTGTATTGAAACAGCATTTGAGGCATATTTTACACAATAACCTGTTTAAAGTTTTTAAATTTTGTTTTGCTTTGTTTCGATTTCTTCATGTAACTTTCTGCTTTTCCATCATTTTGGAATTTGATTCAAAATAATGTATTCAAAATCGGACTCGAACAGACTCCTTTAATGTAAACATTAAACAAGGACAGCCGAGCTATACATCGTGACCGCTTCAAAACTTTTTAGTCGATGGGTGGCTCAAACAAATCTGAAACTGAAAGAAAGACATTTTATTCCTATGATAAAAGAATAAATATAAGTGAGGTGCTTTTGCCCAGATTTCTGTTCTTAATTATGCAATTGGTAAGAGTTCTTTATAAAGTGTGATTGCCCGAGTCAAATATTAGCTAGAGGGACTATATTTTTCTCCTCAATTGTTTTAGTTGAATGGAAGAAAATCAGCGATGCACCAGTTTGCTTCGGAGCGCGTGATAACAAATATGGAGTATTCACCATTAAAGAGAACGGGCTCATTGACACCTTCAAACTCGTTCACGCAAGCGGCTCCGGCGTAAGATGCAACTATTATACACTGGCATCCTATTGGGGTTGTGAGAATAGACAAGATGGTCGTGACATCTTACTGACTGTCATAACTTTCTCGAATAACTCAGCTCTTCCGATTGCGAGTTACTCCAAGGAAGTTGGCATTATCGGAGGACTTTGTTCGTACTACACGTATAAGATCAATGGAACTACGTCTGATTCAAAGGAATTGATCTTTGAAGGCCTTCATTCGCCGCTTTGGGTGACAATCGGCCAAGAGTTTAGAATATGGCATGGACAAGATCTGACAGGTTGTAGCGAGATCAATAACAGTGGTCAAACTTGTGCCGACGTCTATGCTTGGTACACGCACTAAACCACTCTCAATGGCAGTTTTACGCACGGAAGGACGGACGTACGAATATGAACGAACGACGAATGAGCGGACGAAAGAACGCGATGAAGCAAAACATTTTTTATTACCTTTGCAAGAGTTGGTGTAAATCAAAAATAAATAGCGAAAGAAAAGCCCAGGTGCATTTGTTGTTTAACATAGCATTGTACAAGACACCGTCACGCAATCACCCTACCGATCAAGAGGACAGAGAAGATTTTCCTCGGGATTTTTGGGGCCACTTGGTTATTGAATTTAGTTAGAACAGCGTCGGTACACCATCGTAAAACACTCAGGGTCCAAGAATACCGATTAGAGATGCGAGTAGAGAGGGGGGGGGGGGATTACACAATTACAGTGATACACTAACAAATTCCAAACCTAAAGCAATGACAGTCCAGTGCATCTCGTCGCTCGGGGTGCAGGGAAGTCGTAAGCTTTAAAAAATTGCAAGATAACTTTACTTGCCAAAGAAATATACTTACGTAGGATGATCGAGCAATAAGAGATGATCATTGCACTGATTACCATGCCCTCTGTATTTTGGTTGTTCTCCCTCTACCCAGATGTTTCTCTTATCATTCCTGGCCCTGTTGAACTCCCTGCCAAATCCCTATAATTTCCATTTTTTATTAGTGTATCTCCTATACCTCCGCCGCTCCGACTCATGCTATGTTTGAAGCTAGCTCTAGTCAATACCGTGATTGGTACAGTTGCTTAGCTTTCCCACGGAGTAGAATTTTCTAACCTTGCCTGCACTCAGACACCCGCCCGGAGAAAAAATCGTTTGAAATGCTTCATGCAATTGTCTTGTGCCAAATAATGTGCTAAGCTGTGAATCCACCAGTGATAAGTTGAAAGTCATTTGAATACTTCACAGCTTTTTTCAAATCATGCTATTAGCTATAGATGAACTTTCAAAACGTTATTCATGCTTCTGAAATCGCATCTTTCCAACACGCTGAAACAACTTAAACCATTTGAAATACTTCATAGTAATGCAACGACTTTTTTTCATTGAACAGCGATTGGAAATTTTCATTAACAGAGTCATGTCATAAATATTTCAATAAATTTCTGCTTGGCAAAGGTTGTTTTTTAGTTAGACATAAATTATTCAAGAGGGTTATGCCTTAATCTATTCTTTTTTTCATTTTTCTGAAGCCAGGAGAGAAGAATTATTTGCCAACAATAAGCAGAGAAGAAGATATAACATCCATGAAGATGGGACAAAGATATTTTACAGGAATCGTATCGTTGGCAATCTGCAGTATCTGGATGTTTGGAGAAGCTTTGAATGGTAAGAAGTTAACAAAATGAGGAATCCTCTCAGACAAAATCGAAAAATTCAGTCTTTACACAATCAACTGTGCATAGCTCTTTTGACCTAAGTTTGAATTTCTTGCTCCTTAACAATTTTTGTAATTTTCTTTTCTTTTTCAAAGGCACGTACATTTTCTTTTGAATGTAAAATAAAAAGACAGAAGTATCGATGGAAGTTCAAACAAATTCGGAAGCAAATGCATTCAAGCATGAAATTATATTCTTGTCTAGACAAAGTCCTGTGAATAACAACTGCAGGACAAATTATTAATTGTTTCAGACCTTGCAATACAAGGAAGAGTTCTTTGATATAGGCAGTATAATTTACACTATTGTCTGATGTGCAAAAGCAGTGATCAAATGCATAGTTAGTTCATCAGGAGTCTGAAAAACCTTTAAACTTTGGAATACAGTGTGCTAATTTGATAGTAATTAAGCATCCTGCTGGGAACTAAACGTTTAAAAATGAAAATGTTACTTAACTTGAAAAAAAAATCTGGTTGAATTTAACAAATTCAAACATTACTAAGATGTTTCAAGGGGTCAGGAAATTATCTCAAGAGGATAACTGCAGTCAGGAAGCAGAAACGTGCTCCTATGTAAACTTGTAAAGGAGCCGAGATTAATGGATCTCAGCCAACTTCTTTTCTGTCTCTTGGCGAGGCCGAACTTTATAAGAGTTGCAAGAAAGAAACGAGGCCAACATAGAGTAAACTCAGTTTTTCGAAAAAGCTTGCTTAATTAGAATTTACTCCATGGCTAAAATATTGCGCCAACAATTTCTCTTTGTTGTCAAGAAAAGTTAATGAATCCTAGAAAATCAATCTTAAATTTAAGCGATCTTCAAAAAATTCAGGCCTATGAGGGAGATGAACCCACGACCTTTGCCGATACCGGTACAATGCTCTGCCAACTTTGTTTCACTATGACCTGAGTAGTGTTCATTTCTGTGGAGATCATTCATACTCATTTAATAAACCGCAGCTCACGCATAAGATTTTCATAAAATCACATTCATTAAAAATAAATTTTGTAAATTTGATCAGCTCCTGCTTTAATCATAGTAGTTGCGAGCGAGCATTTTCTTCCACGATTTTTTAACGCGAATAGCTTTGGAGAGAAGAAGAAATGTCTTCAATCTACCGAGGGTATTTGTGTGAACAACTTCGAGGTTGAAATCAGTGCAAACTCACCTCCACGATTAAGGCTCCCGCTCGAGATTTGTAAGAAAGGTCGAAATTGCTCTCTGAATTTTAAAAGTTAATTGATCAGGAGACGTTTCCTCGAAAAGGAAAAAAAATTAGATGATGCTGACAAATTCGTATGATTATTAATTAATGTTACACCGAAAATTTCAACCGCTCCGTTTCACAATAAAAGATGACCAACCAAATAATTCATTCATTATTTTCAGCTACATCTTAGATAACTGTGCCTGATATTTCAGTTCAAGGTTGTAGAGTGCTTCAGTTCGCTTCACCCAAGGTAGGAAAAGCTCTCGTAAATCACGTGATCAAGAACATTTCAGTGGGAAGCCCAGATGTCTGTGAATTCGAATGTTACCTTGACAACCGGTGTTTGTCTTACAACTATGGTGACCAGGGGAATGTGCGCCACAAATGTGAGCTGAGCGATTCAGACCATAAACAACACCCTCGTGACCTACAGCAACGACTGGGGTTTAGCTACAGAGGAACTGAGGTATTTAACTGCTAGCAAATGCTGATGAAATGAAATGACGTAATCTACAGTGCCCTTTGTACATGATGGTATTGCTCCCATGATGCAACGAGATATGAGTTACAACTATATACTCGATCTTAATGGTGTCTATATTACATTAAATCTCGTTGTGTTAGACTCATTGCCGTTTTTCTTTTTTCTAAATCTACATTACCAACCACAAATGGTACAGGAAATTCTTGTAAACACCAGCAAGAAAACAGTTTTTGATGTAACCCTCACAATCCAACGGTTCTGTCAACGAAAGCAAGCGGTGATTACACCGGCAAAATCGATTCATTTATTCTCAATTATAAAGAAAAAAACCAAGCATAACGGGAAAAGATAAAACAAAGACTACACCTCTCGGAGTAAGATTATTTTTATTTGTTACGTAACAAGGCGCGGTTTGATCATCAGATCAAACTAATACATCGTACACGCTGATGCTGAATCAAGTTAAAAGAGAGTGTTTCTTATTCATGCTTCATTTTTCCTATGTAACAGAACGATTGCTCTAGTAACCCGTGCCCTGAAAATAAAAAATGTATCATCGATGTATCTGATAATGAGCACCGCTGCCAATGTTTCCAAGGTTTCTCTGGAGAACATTGTGAGCCAGGTAAGAATGTTAAATATGGCTGAGTTGTTCATAAAAATTTGGGGAGGGGCGGGGGAGGGATAGCGAGCTTGTTACTTAATCTTGTACTTAGACCTCTCACGGCCAAGCGGTCGTAATTTCAGCAGCAGTTACACGGTAGAATCTGGGTACGAGATTACTCATTACCTCATAGATGCTTCTAGGACTCAATTTGTCTTCTTTTCCTTAGTCAGGACAGGTGGATGGAGGAAAATCAATGATGACCCAGTGTGCTTTAGCACGCTTGATGACAGATATGGAGCATTCACCATTAAAGAGGACGGGTTTATCGACACCTTCAAACTCGTCCATAGACGCGGCCGCGGCATAAAATGCAACCGAAATTTCCCGGCTGCCTATTGGGGTTGTTTTAACAGAAATAATGAGCCTGATATCTTAACTACTGTCATAACTTTCTCGAATAACACTGCTCTTCCGATTGCGAATTACTCCGAGACAATTAGCAACACTGGAGCTTTGTGTCGATACTACACATACAGGATCAGCGGAGTTGATGTGAACTCCAAGGAATTGATCTTTGAGGGCCTTCACTCACCGCTTTGGGTGAAAATTGGTGAGGAGTTCAGGATTTGGCATGGACACGATCTTGTGGATTGCGATGAAGAAAACAACAGCGGTCACACATGTGCTGATGCATACGCTTGGTATTTCTAGTAATCCGTCCAAAACGTAGACAACATGACAGATCAAAAGACCAAGGAACGGGCGGACTACACAGAACAACGCGATTAAGAAAATTATGACGAAATAAATCGATGGGTCGGTCGACCTTTCGAAACAGTAGGCGGACGAACTCATTAACGAAGAAAACTTTAAGTTTGTTCTCCTATAGCTGAACAAACAGAGCCTAGTTTCTTTTCATTCACACAGTAATTTATGCTCAGTTATTAAGTAAAAAGAAATAAGTTGTCGTGGTTAGTGATTTAAAAGACGGGGTAGTAAAGATACTCGAACTTTCTAATGTCATCCCATAGTAACGTCTAGAACATTCTGTTAGGTTATTTAATTATGGTTACCAAAATAGTTGTGCTGTAGGCTTCCCAAATGTTATGGAAGACATTGTAAATGTTTGTAGGGAATCAGTCGTCTAGGAGTAATAGTTGCTGTTCTCGGAAGAGACTGGAAAGCTCTACCGACAGAGAACTATTGTAGTAGACTTGAAGGATTGTGCATTTCGAGGAGATTTGGAGGACACAGTAAGTTTGCGTCAATAGTAAACGAAGTTGAAGTTTGTAGTGGGCTTCACCCATGTCCCATGTTCATTGCACACAATGGAAACTGTCAAGTTACAAAGTTGTATTTAATAAATTGACACATTGTAAACCAAACACAAAGCAGCAATACCACATTAAACGTGTTAAAACTTAATATATCTAGAGTTAGCGGCAGTAGAAAAATTACTGTACAATTTAATCTTTGCAAGCAAACTGTCGGGATGATATGAATCAAGTATAAAAAAAAGTATGACACACCTGCACGACATTTTTTATCCCACATGATACAGCACCATACGTCATTAAATAGTCACTATACACATCAGTCAAATGGAGAAGCGATACTTTGGGAAGTTTACACGGGGCGATTGACCAAAAAGATTGTCTGTTATAGTCCTGACTCTACACCTTACATCCCTGGAGTCAGTGAAAAAGGCTTTGAAATGCTAAGCAGGGAAGGGTAGCGGAGTATCCCTGAAGATGCCCTTTGGCAAAATTACAGTGATATACCAACAGATGTCCTCGCTCGACTTCGAAAGACGAAAACATCGCGATAGCAGGACTTCACAACATTCGAAGATCGGACAGTTTTATACATTAAAATATGGCGCGAATATTAACATGCCTAGAAGAGAATCACTATGGATTTAAAAGTGAGACGTGATGTTACTTCCAATATTTCAGAGAGAAGGTTCACATGGTAAAATAAGGCGCCAAAATTCAAGATTATTATGGTTTACTTATTTCCTAACGATGACGTCCACTGCCAGCCGTGTATTATCTGAGCTTGACGACACCTCCTTTACCTCTCCCCTTTCCTACGCCTCTTCCAAGGGGTGTGGTCTTCCCTCCTCTACCTCGGGTACTCCTCAAACTTGCTTGGCTTGGAGCTTTGCTGACTGAATACGATAATACAGGAAAACGTGAGTTTTATCAAGCAAAATATGGAAACTTGAGCGTAACCTTAAAAAGCCACACCTTTTAAAGACTGGTTTCATAATAAGAAAAATTCCAGTGGAGTTGAATAACTTAAGTAGCATCGACTGAACTATGAGATGTAAGCAATAAAGCAAACTGCAATAATTTTGTTAGAGCGCAAAATAAATGATGAAAAAATAACATTTCAAAAACATGGCAATCTAGTCACAATGAATCGTAATGTACAGCTCCTTGGAAGAGCACCTTTTATTGATGGTGGATACCGTGGGTCGATAAAGTAATTCATTCACGACTGGATCTGAACACCCAGTCTTACACTATAGCTCTGTTTCTTGTTCGCCTGTAAGTTTACCTGATTGCTGCTGCAGTCTCGCTTTGTTTGAAGCACATTCTTCTTTCAAATGTTTGCTCCAGGCCTAAAAAACAAGTAAGAAAAGGCAAAGGTTACTTTCATTGGCAAACACTCATAACACCACCGTTACAACGGCAAATAAACGAGATAGAGACTGTTTCGATGGACCTCACCTCGTCTCCTTTGCCAAGAGTTTTGTTACACAGAACACAGCGGGGACCTTGGGATGCTAAAGAAACCATTTGTGTCATTAGAAAAAGAATGTAATCATGTCAGCCATGAGCAGCAGAAACGGTAAGAAACGAAAGGAATATTTCTTGAAGGTGCAATGAAAACAAACGTCAAAATTCGTACAGATAAAAGAAAACCTATTAAAAATGACATTTGAATGAAGAAGGTGTGACGCGTTGGAGAACCTCAAGTGTCAGCCAACGGTGTGCCTGGTTGAAGAGGAAGATTTCGCCCCTTAAATATTTTTGTCGAAGACATTTTTGGTAAGGATTCCAAGCAAAGTTTAAAAAATGTTCCAAAAAGTTGTATCCTATTACCCCTTAACCCCTGAGGGTGACTAGCAGCTAATATCTCACTAAAGTATCACTGCTGAATGAAACATTACGCTCATGTGAGTTACAGAAATGATACTTGAAAATCTCTTTGATTTTTGACTACATTATCCCTGTCTGTGCCACACAAATGTATAAAAAAAGAGTATGGACAATATGAACGCTGATATTAGGGTCTAGAGGGTTAGAGAGTAAACGCTAAGGAGTAAAGAACACTTTCTGGTTAAATTCTTTGTTACAAAAACAACGTTAAAACGACGACTATGATGCACTTTAGCTTGTAAGGAGCTCATTTCGTTGCAGAGCAACAAACAAAGAACTTACGGCTGCATTTTTTTTTGGCAAAGTGCTCTTCAAGATCCACTTTAAGAACGGCGTCCTTACATCGAGGACACTGAGCAAATTTGCCACTGGACTCACACTCAGTCAGAAGATGTTCACTCACACCAGAGATTTCAATCACCTGACGGGAGGGGAAGGAAAGGGAGAGAAGATGGTGAGCAACAGTTATTTTACTTATAGGACAACATTTGCGTTGACAAGTCAGAGAGGGGAGGGTAAGTTACCTGAGCACAATGGTCACATCTTTTTAACATGGGACAGCTCTTCCAGTAATGCATATCCAACATCTCTTCTGTGAAAGATTCGTTCTTCTCACCGCAGAAGATACACATTCTGTATGATATCCAGAATAGAGAGAAATAAGCAATGAGTGATGTCTTGATCTAAAATCAATTGATTTTATCGAGTGGTTCTCCTTGTCCAGAGATCACCAACTATTTACTTTCAAGGATTTGTTTTGGCCGCAGTTTTGGACAACAGGTATTCTGCAGCCTACAAAATTATAACAACAATAATAATAACAATAACAATAATAATAGTAATAACTAAAAATAATGATAATGATAACAATGAAATATTTCTATAGCACCATATCCATGGCACTTTGCAAGACTTTGCGGGGGACTTCATCCTTATCCATCCTAATCCGAGAAGACTAGATTGTCTAACCACTTGCAGATGTGATAGCAAAGGCAGCACATTCTCCTCAGTTATTTTAAGACCCTGAGTGTTGGTCAAGTCTGGGGCTTGAGTCCTCGACCTTCCACACAGCAGTCCGGCGCTCTACAACCTGAGCTTAACAAGGGGACAGATCTGATTGGCGTTTTAGAAAATCAAGGGCGATATGTGAAAAATTCATTTTAAAGAACTTCTTGCGATACAAAAAACCTTCAGGGCGGGTAAACGGCAAGCAGGAATTGCTAGCATTTAACACCCATGATTTAACACAAGGAAACTGCACTCTAAAGGTTTTGGTGATGGTTTTCATATTCGCCAACGAATAAAATAAAGTCTTTAAAATCATACGATGACATTCACTGAGAAAACATGTATCATAACAAGACAAGATAAAACAATCGATTTATCACAGCCGCATAACTGTGGTTACCAGAGGTATATCACTTAATTTAAGTACTAAATGTAATACTTAGCAAGCATAATACCTGTCTACGTCAATCTGTTCTTCTGCAAACAACAAAACAAAATATCGAAATTATTGGTACTGGTAAACCTGACAATTTCTCATCAAGCAGAGAGCAACGAGGTTATCCTGTTCAAATTATTAACAGTTTGTATAAAGGCACACTACCATACAGTCTCCACTGTAAGACTGTAGGCCCAAGATGCTTTATGGGATTTCTTTAGCATGTCACATGACCCCCTTGGACACAGAAGCACAAATAAGTCGTTTCAAGAGGTGGAATCTGGATGACCAGATTTTTGTGGCATGCTGTGATCAAAATAATCGCGTTTGTCATTCAGTCAGTCAGTCTGTCAGTAAAAAGCAAGTCAGTCAGTAGGTCCGTTCGTCAGTCAGCTGGCGAGCCGGGCAGCCAGCAAATCAGTCTGTCAGTCAGTCATTCAACCAGCCGGTGAACCAATCAGCTAGTCTGTTGGCAAGTCAGCTGGCTAGCCAAGAAGCCAGTTGGTCAGTCAGTCAGCCAGCCAGTCAATCAGTCAGCCAACCCCTAAACAAGCTGGTCAGTCAGTCAGCCAACCCCTAAACAAGCTGGTCAGTCAGTCTGCCATCTAGCCAGTTAATGTGTCAGTCTGTCAGCTAACCAACCAACAGGCCAGTCAGTCAGTCAGTCTTCAAACCCGCCAACAAGCCACTCAGTCAGTCAGCCGGTAAGTCAGTGAATCAATCTCTTTGTTCTTAACAATTTGTGACAAAAATAACAGTTCAATATGACAAAAGACTACAGCTTAAGAATCAGACATATCAATAGAATAAAATTCATGTCTATTAGTAATGGCACACTTTTCTATAGTAAACAAATCACCGCACTGCACGTACTAACCTTTTGCTGGCTTAGAATTCCCGGCTTTGTTCGACTCCTAAACACAAGATTTTATTTATCAGACACCTTCATATTTCGTCTCTGAAGTTCTACACTACTTAGGAAGAACTACATTTTCTGCCAATAATAATTTTCAGATTCTATTTAAATGTCAAAGAATGGTGTTTAAAGTAAAATATTTAAATTTTGGACTACAAGCGTCTCTCTGTTTCAAACATTAAAGTCACGAGAATTAAGAAAACGATCACCAAAAAAAGAAGGTCTTGATTGTTAAACAAATTCTCCTTGTCAGCACCATAAATAATGTGTGGGGAACAGTATGGAGGATGAGGACAACATCTAGATACCGTCATTTAGTAGTTGTAAGTACAGGTTATATACGAACCCCAGCCATATCTCTAAGCGCTTGAAGTTGAGCCTGTAATGCCGCAATCTGAGGAGGGAGAATAACATTTCTCTCAACAGATACTCTTAAAGCAAGAAAGTGCAATTCACTACCACCCTGATTTAATAATTATTTTTTCATGAATTCCTTTTCAAACTGTATTTACATTTATTAGTAAAAGGAGACATGAAGCTCCAGCTGCGGAGAGTCAGTTTCTGCTTCCTGAGATTATCCACTTAAAACCGGTAGAGTCTTTCTTGTGCTTTGCTAAACAAGTGTGCTAAGCAAGTAGCATTTCTTTTTCTTTAGAGGTCTACCTCTTTGAGCTGTTCTCAAACAGTTACATCATTTTTCGTTAAAGATTA